TGGTAAGTGGTTGCTGGAAGTTGCAAAAATTATAGACTGCCAGGGGGTAACTGGCTGGTCTCAATCTGTGAGACTGGGGCTTAACATCCTGCCCATCTTAGGAATTGGATAAAGTAGAAATAGCAAGGCTAATGATCTCCCTACTCAAAAAGTGCATCCATCTGGTAATCAGCATGTCCATGGCTCCAAGAATTCTACTTCTCCTCTGGTCCAGTTAGCAGTGTCCTTTCTATCCTTGGTTAGTTTGAGTTAAATTTGAGACAGCACAAATAGAATTATACAAACAAAATACTAATTAAAAATGAAAAAAGGAAAAAAACATTAAATGCAAAAAGTGAATTAACCTACCAGCTTAAATTCTCATATTTCCAGAGTAAACAGCTGAAATTGTTAACCAGTCAAGAAGAAGAAACGCGCCATTGGCGCATTTCATTATGGTTACACTATGACATAATTTAGAAGTTATTCAAAGTCCAATAGCGACGGCCTTCATGCCCAGAGATCAAGGTATTACATCACTGGTTAACATGATGAAGCTGTCATGAGTCAGTCAGTGGAAAGCTAGACCATTGTCTAAACATGACAGCACGTAGCTGGCACATATCCAAGCAGACACTAGAGCCACTGTGGAAGCAGGCAGTTGGTTGACCTTTGACCCTGCCCAGTCTGCCTTTTAAACAAAAGAGCCATTCAGATACAGACTGCTTTTGCAGAACACAAAGGGGGGGGAAAAGCACTTGGTACAAATGAGAGGTAATTGTGTTGAAAAGCGTGTTTACTCTCATTTGAAGTTGGTAAAAGCAGGTGGATTGTCAAACATTTGTGATGGAAAGCCACAAAGAGTCGAGCTAGAAGAAGAAAGCATGAATTCATGCAACAGGGATATAAATAATAAGAGCAGGAAGAAATGTCACCATAAAAACAAAGTGACTTAAGTTAGATTTATGGTTGACTGCTTTGCTGTGATTAGGTTGCTTTTGTGCAGAGGCTTTTGAAAGATGGATAGTATACCGTTCCCCTGCATCATGATTTATAGCTAACATACAATTACACCATGTATAAAAATGTGCACTCATATTTATGCTGTCAAGAGTTCAGGGTTTTGAACAGCAGAAGTATTTTCTCAGGGGCAATTTATTTCTGCGTGGGTGTGAAAGAAAGTGCAAAGTGCTGTCACAAGGAATTCCTCGCCTAAACAAAATACAGTTAAATGAGAGCTGCCTGGTCTAAAGAAGCCCTAAATAATACATTAAGGAACAACACATCGTAAAGCATGACCGTTTGCCATGTTAGCTCTGGCAGCTGCTGGCTTGGAGCGCTGCACCAGCCACTTCTCTTCAGTGACAACCCTGGAAAGAGTCCTCCTGATGCCAATATCTGTAATTTCAAATGCCTCTTTACAGGCTTTTCTCTGGCTGTTATCAGGTTTGACTGCTGCTGCACGTTAGAGGGGTCTGCAGGAGAAAGTGTGGTTTATGAGCCTGGAGGAGACCACCTTGGGTGACCCACTTCTTCTCATCCAATATTCCATTCACCTTTCGTCCAGCGTAACACCAAGTGCCAAGTTCCCTTTTTTTCTTTCTGATTAAATGTAGCACTTGTTGGCCAGGCTGTGACTGTTTCTGTAATATGATGGTGAATTCTTTCTTAAAATATTACTTCATGAATGCTCCATATAGCGGGCACAGAAGGGTTTAGACCAATGATTTTAATTGTTAGACAGACTTTTGACAAATGATTTGAACTAATCTGTTCCTTTTTTGAATCAACCTTCACTCATTTCAATCTCTATAAATTCCTCAGTATGCAAATTTCTTCATTTCCTTTAGTTATAATTATCTTGAATGAGCTAAAATCTCATTTTTAATTCAGTTGATTTCCTTCAATACTTGAGATAATTTGTCCATTAGCTCCTGGTCATGCATTACCACTCCCTGGGGTACTCCTAATTGGGAATCACTGATTTGGAAAGCAGCTCAGGAAGTTTCGCCCAACTGACTGACAAGTGACAGGCAGATTTTAGGGGTAGCTGTGTGTCTTTTGGCAGCACACAGCTCAGCGGAGGAGAAAGCTCCCCGCCTCTCTCTTTGCAGCTGGTTTATCAGTCATGACATTTGCCATTCACTGTGGGTAAAGCCTAACCCTGCTTGAGTTGATATGAATATCCCAGGGTGAGGTTTACTGAAGCCAAGTTAGTAGAAGCTATGATCTGGAGTCATTTGTAAATGTGGAGGTACACATGAGTGTCTAAGCTCCTCTTTTCTTTCTTCCTGTAACATGTGTGCTATTCAGGGGTAATGAAAATCAGCAAACCCTCAAAGAAAAGGAGAACAGATGGAATAGAGAGCTTGTTGGATCTTTCACCCTCTCTCTTTTTTAGAGACCATGATTTTTATCACATGCATGCCAGGCCCATTCCATTTGCGTCAATTATCAGGCTGTGATGGATGATACAAGGGTTACTGGTACACTCAGCAATACTGGAGCCTGTGCGTACCCCAAATAACCCCGGAGGAATAGGCTATCTTCCCTCATTTTGGTGATGGAGAAGTTACCCTCTAGAGAGAGAGAGCGAAAGAGAGAGACGGAATGGAGAAGTGATGCAAACTAATGTCACTTTGACACTAGTGAACATCATGGAAACAAGCTGGTTCTGGCGCTCAGCTGGGTTAATGGATGTGTCCCCAGGGCTTCTTCAGGAATGCACCCAAGCATTACCGCCAGCAATTTGGTGTCATCTGTCTTCTGTCCCTAGAGAAAGATGATAAATGTTATTGTGACTGCCCCTTTCTCCACTCTTTAGCATATCAGTGGCTCCAGTTTGAGTGTGTGAATGTCTAAACAATAGTTTCAGTGGGTGGTGGTTCTGTCACAGAGAGTATAATAAACATAATAAATGAATCTAAATGAATATAAAAGTATAATACCAAAAGTATAAAAAGAAAATGTGCTGGATTTTAAATGTGCTGATTGCCAAAAATGTATCTAAGGGTTCAGTCCTGTAGGCCTAGAGACAGGATGGCGAACCCTTTGCAACCACAGGTCGCAAGGGAATAGACAAATGGTTGCTGACTATACAAAAGAACTCCTTTTGATTGCTTTGGTCTCTAGATACAACCGACATATTTCAAACTATGTTTGACTACAGCAATCTGCTAGTGACCAAAGCAATGACAAGGAGGTTTTAGTGCAGCACCATATACCTCTTTTCAACCATTTTCACACAGTAATTGCCAGCAACCACTAGGCAACTGGTTGGAGGTGTAATGGATACATTACACCTCTCCCGATTGACCTGTGGTTGCCGGGGGTTGCTGACTGGTCTCTAGGCCAGCCCTTTATCACTAAATCTAAATATGTGATTTTTTTTTTTTTTTTTTTTTCTAAATCAAACAATGAAAAAATAGATTGGGGGGAAAAGTATTTGGTATACTCTAATGGCCCCCAAGTAACAGTCCTTGTTTAGAATGTGGTCACTTGCTCTCATTTACAGTATATGCATGCATTTATACTGAAGTCAATATTAGAGACAAGCCAATACTTTTTCCAACTTGGTCAGCAGACAGGCAGTCTCATGAAAGATAAGACGACGGCATATGACCTCAGTCTGCATGACCCATGCCTTTAAAGTTACATCAATAGTATTGATGAGTCAGTTGTGGTCAGGAAGCTGTCGATGTCTAAAGATCACGATTGACATGTCAATGTTTTTTCAGACATATTGATCACTTTAGAATGCTCATACTCAGACTTGTCAGTGATGATGAAGCATACCATACTTTATCATATAATTATCTCTACAAGCGATGATAGTTTACTAAATGGATATTATGCTGCATACAATACAGATGTTTTGTTGAGGTAAATTTTCCAGTTAGCTGTAGTGCTTCTAAATGTAATGTTAGATGTAATATTATTTTATTTATTTATTTTTTTTGCAATTAGAAGAGTGGCCCCCTGCTGATAAATTAATGAAACTTGGATTTTTGTGGTCTTTGACTTTATTTTCTGGTGTTAATCTGGTGCTAGAAGCATTGGAAGCACAGTTGGTGATGGGAAAGGGCGGGGCGGGGGGGCCATAAACTCTGATAAACTGCTGCATAGGTGTTTTATTTTGTCTGGCTGAAGGTTTGGGTGTAAGGAGGGGTGGAGATGAAGAGATGATGGTTTCTGTCTTTCACAGGAAGTCTCCGGTGTCTTGAAGTTTTTGTTCGCACTCTCTTGCCACTCATGTTATCACAAGTAACATACTTGAACTCCAATTCTCTGAACCCTCTGTGGTGTGGCCCTCCAGCTGATTTCCTCCCCACCCTTCAGCTCCTTTCCACCCTTCCACACATTACATTTGGCTGAGCTTATACTGCGAACTTGACCAAGCCAAGAGATCTTTGTGTATCAAGGTTTCTGACTCACCTTTTTCTCAATGAACACTGATGACTAAATCACAGGGAAATCCTTTTCCTGTCTGTGTCAAAGGGGTAATTCCTAATGGACAACGCCATATTTGGCACATCAGTTTATGGGCGTGTGTGCTTTTATGCATGTGTTAAAGATGAGAGGACGGGGCAGGAAAGAGGTTTCCTTTGGGTACTGTGTGTGATATCCCTACATCGACTGCTCATTTAGACCTAAATGTGTTGGGTGGAGTTGGAATTGTGGGCAGGCATAGGAAGCACAGGCCGTTGAGGGTCATTTCCTTTTAGCTTGCCCTCTCCCATGGCCTCTCATAACAGACACGCACAGATACTATAGTATAAGGTAAATGCATGTATGGTATATTCACTGAAAATCCATAACATTTTAGCTGACATCCACATGGATGCTGTCATATGCTGGAGCTGGAATCCAGAAGGGGAGGGGAAGGTAGATTAGTAATCCAAAGACAGAGAGACTGTGAGAGAGCGAGAGAGACAGAGCAGGAGAGGGAGGGGAGAGAGAGAGAGAGAGAGCGCGAGCGGGGACAATGTCAACAGCTCAGCTCCCAGCACAGTCAGCTGAAATCTAGAGCTCAGCTCAGAAGCTCAGAGAGGTGAAGCAGACGAAACTAAACGGCGTCTGTCAAACTCTGCAAACCCATGGAATTTGGTCATGAAGCTCCAAAAAGCAAAAACGGTTGCGTAGAAGCAGAAGATGCGGGATTGCTTTAAATTTTTCTTCTAACTTTTTTTTTTCTTTTGTGGAGTGCTTTTTTTTTTTTTCATTTGCTAGTGAGGCAACACAGAGACGGTTCATCTCTTAGTGCAACCGGTCTGAAGTGGGTAAGTAGGCGATACTTGATCTGGATACTGATACTCTTAACCCTTCCCGGTCATTGTGAGTATTAGCTATTCGGTAGTCTTGTTCACCCATGACAGGCTACAGATGCTCATGCTGCTTAGTCCAGGCAGGAAAATTTGAAGATTTCTGCAGGCAATAAAATAAACATCAGGTAGGAGTGCTCATAGAGAGGAAGGGGGAAAAAAGACCTGGTGGGCAACAAGGGCTGCTGTTCCCCTGTGATAAAGTTTCCACATTTTGTGCTGTTGTGATTGGAGGGAAGGGCAGTATTTTACAATCGTTTTTCACTACAGTGGCTTTATAGCTCATAAACAGGAGCAAAAGTTGGGTTGTGAAATGAATGTGGTCTTGATGTTTGGGCTCGTTCTCCAACGGTGCTGACAGGACATCTTGCTGTACCCACATGTGTGCTGTTGCACTGTGTAAGAAACAGTTTTGGCTTAATAGTGATGCTTTTGGGTTCAGTTTGACATGAGATTCTAGAAGTTTTGGGAGTTTCATGATTTCATGGATGATCGGAGGCTCAGTGTTATTGCTGCTGCTGCAGATGTGAGTTGGAAGACATCAACATTTAGTTTCAACCAAATCACATTACAAGATGTCTAATGCACATTTCAGGGGAATTGTTCACATTTAAAAGACTGAAGGGTGATGGGATAGTATCATATGTAAAATGGATGCTATTTTGGGACCTAGATGATGAGTGATCACACATCTTCATCAATCACACAGTCATCTTCCATTCCATATTCCTCCCATGCAACCCATTATAGACACTGGGGGCTGAGTATGTATGGAAGACAGTTCTTTTTAACTGACAGTCCTTTCAAAGCTTCCTTAAGGGATGCCAGTACATGGCTACATGGCCCCTCAGAGCGGTGAAAATACCCAGCTTTACTCTTTTGGCTCGTCTGTCAGCTGTAAATCCTTTGCATGGTTTGAAATCATGGTCATGTGAGTTCATTCACCAGCCGTCCAAATTTCCAACTAAGAAATTGATTAGGGATCCTTTCTTAGTCTCTTAACATCCCTCAAGGTTAAGGTTAGGACTAGGCATAGGCGTGGGATTTGGTGAAGGTTTACCCCTTTTTAAAAAAAAAAAAAGAATTTTCATAGAAAACTCAAAATGAAAACCTTGCAAGAAACAACTTGTCCCAGAACATGTAAGATGTCATTTGAAACCGGCTGTTTGGCATGTGGCTAAAACAAACTTGACCCTAACCTTAGATGGATTGTTGGTGACATGATGGACGTAAAGGGGGTTAGGGTTTACTGAGGCATAAGTTTTATTTATGGAAAATCTTCCAACTAGATAATATAGCATTTTAGAGTGATGTTTTCTTTTCTGGAGACTTTTATACAGCTAATGCAGCAGTAAAAGCAATATGAAAAAACACGAGACACATGTTATTTCGGTAACACTCATGTAATTCATCCCTTTTGGTGTTTTGCATTTTAAGGTCACTGAACCAGAGGCAAAACTCATTTATATAGTCAAAGGGCCGTGTGTGTTTTTCTTTGATGTCTTTTTGCAGTGTGAACAAGATAGTATTTATTTCCACCACATTAAAAGCTTACTCTGCAGTCTGCTGGAAGACCTCCTACATCCATGTGCGCTGGGGGGCAAACAGAGCGACAGTACTAAAAGATTCAGCGTGCCGGGAGAGCATTAACGAAAGTGTACATATACACCCTCTGCTGCCGTCAGCGCTCTCGGGGCTTTTCATATTTTATCGACCATTACGGATGCATGAACTGCTCTCTCAGGCTTAGAGGGAGTGTGAGGGGGAGTTATTAAGCAAGGGTTGGCCTTTTATCGCTTCAGCCCTGCTGCTGACTGGCAGCTCAATGGCCTGCTCATTAGGATAGGGACAGAGAGAAAAAAGAGATGAGCTCTGTAAAGTTGCTTGGACGTCAACTATCTGATCTTTTGGCCAGGATCATCTTCATGTTGCATTCACATTAGAGTAGTTACAGTGTCTGGGGGGCAGAACCCTGGAAGATTTTAGGAAAAATGCTGCTAGTCCTCTCTCCCCTTCACTGGAAGTCCCCACACAGTGTGTGTCAAATGCTGCTATTGTATTTGTGCCAGTGACACACTTTCTGGGGCTTATGATGTGTAAGCATATCTCCTCTTTACAGTGCTTCAGTTCAGTACAGTATTACCGCAGGCTATTTTAAAAAGTGCTCGTCACTTTGGAGAGCTGTTCCTGTCTTCTTTGCTATAACTGTCTCGGCGGAGCATTCCAGACATTACCCAGAAGCCCTATGTCCTCTATGCTGCAGCTGTTGACCTCTCACCCAGGCAAGATTAGTAGCCATTCACATTGTAGTGCAAAGCATGAGAAGTCAGATCATTGCAAGGTGACAAAGGCACATCTACTTAATCGGAGAGCGCAGTTGTGAGCTGTAACATGTATGAAAACAAACTGGTTCAAGAGAACAATCTCTCTCAGTTTTACTGATGGAAATCGCTCATCCTCTCCAGAAGACAAGACTGCAGGGTGTTTGAGGAGCACAGTCTCTGAGAATTTCTGCATCTTTTCCCTCTTGAGAGTCATGGTAACTAGCTCTAAGATTTTACTAGTGCCAACTTTGTTCCCACTTATAATAACACGTCTTTAGCTAGACTGGGAGCTCGTGACTCTGGAACGTTCCTCCCAGATGAAATCAGAAAGCGATTTGACACGGCAGGATGGCGTTTTGGAGTTTGAAGGGAAGGGATGCCAAGTATTGGATTTCATTCTGAGCCCTGTTAATATGTGGGAATGTCAAGGACTTTGGAATGTGGCGTGGCTGACTTTCTTCTCATTCCCAGTATTAATAGCATAGATATCCCAGTGATCCGGTCTATTTGACGAGCAGAGATGTGCCCATTGGCTTTTTGTAGAAATGGGTCAACAGCATGGCTGTATTTTCTATTGCTGGCCTCTGTGCTTGATAGAACCTTCACCCGGAGCCAACATTAACATCTGCATTGTTTGAGTCTCACAAAACAACTGGCAGACTGTTTCTTCCTTGTGCAACGTGGATGTCTTGCAGAATACAGTTACTAATCAGGGTTGAGCGACTGGATAAATGTATCTATGAATGTGTCAGTGCATTGCTGTTTTTATTTTTTTCCTTGATATTTTTCCATTAATTTTTATCATTTTTTGGTTTTGTCTTCCTGAGGGTGGGGAAAAAGCAAACTGTAAAAATGTCTTTGAAAAGGATGCACTCTTCCAGTATATACGTTTGTGGTGCTAAACTAAAGTGTTGCAATTCTAGTACAGAACGCCCAACAGTAAAAAAAAGACAGGACTTTTGGGTTACCTGATGTACCTGATGTAGTTTTGCATCTTTGTTGACATGGTTGATCATTTTGTAAGTGCTGTCCTTTTGGTATTAAACACTGAGCGGAAAAAGTCTTTTACTCTACCAAATCTCCAAAATGTGCAGACAGGCTTTCAAAGTCATGTTAATCCCTTGTTAACGTGGCCCAAGATGTCTGTTGCTGGATGGCTTCTTATTTCAGCTTTTTTTTTTCTTTTTTCTTTTTCATGTAACCCGTGTCTGTGGTTCGTGGCTTCTGTGAAGGGGTTTACCATGTTTCTAATAATTTGCTTCAAACTGGAACTGTACATGGTTGGGTACTTAAAGGGTGCCCTGCACTGCTCTATGGAGCTGCTAGATTTGTTTTGGTTAAAGCAACAATTTAAAAGCACACTTGTAACAACCCCCTGGCAATTTATGTGGCCTGCACTGTTATAAATGTTCCTTGCATCAGGAAATTGCATTTTTTTAATGAATCAGACTAAATGAAATGGCTATTAATGACATCCCTGGAGGATTGGAAAAATCTCCTACCCCCTCCCCTTTTTCCAGTGGTTGAGTTGAGGCATTTCCGCTTAATGGGTGAGATGGGTTACTGTGCCTCATGGCCTTGTTAAAACCAACTATGCTTATATGTTTGTTTTCAATGAGGCTAGAAGCTAATAGGACCTCTGAGAGAAAGAGATTAAAATTTACAATGTGATGGACTGATTGATCGGTAAAATGGCACAATGAGGACACCATGGGAAAGTCTGACGATTCTATTGTCTAGAATAACCAATTAACAGCATCCGAGTCCTCAGTTGACATATAGATGTAAAACGTAGGCTGCTCTAAGATGGTCTGTCAAGTTCATACACATAACCAGTAAAGACTCTATAACCATGGGCCAAATCCATATAACTACCCCATCCTTGCATTGGCTGTCTGACAGAGCTGTTTGTAAACAAAATAAAATGAAAAATGCCTCTGTCTAAATTTGATTGCTTTTGCCTTGGAGACAGTCTGGAAATATTTAAGCAACACTATTAACCACAAACCATTAAAGTAATTAATAATAATTGTGGTTGTGGGCAGTTTAAGTGGAGGTACTTTATTTTCTTGGGGGGGGTTACTGTATGGAAGCTACTTAAAAATGCCTGCTTTGTGTTATTCTGTGTTGTTCCATCTTTGTTAGTTTGTTGCGTCCATTGTGAGAAATGTGAGGGCGGCCATGAAATTCTTTGTACTTGTGGGTCATGTGTTTCAGAAGTGTTAATTCGCTACGAATTTTCCCAGTGAGTCAGTCTTGAGCCACACTACAGTCATGTGAGAAACGAAGTCTTTTGAGGCAGTGGGCCAAAAATGACCAAAGTGGAGATGTTTGGTCATAATGCAAACATCACAACACAGCACATCATACTAGCTGTCAAGCACAGTGGTGGAAGGTTGACAGTTTGGGCTTGTTGTGCAGACACAGGAAATGTTCATCTTGCATTCATTGACTTGATCATGCATTCTACTGAATACCAAAGTATTCTAGAGTCAAATTTGAGGCAATCTGTTTGACAGCTAAAGCTTTGTTGAAATTGGGTCATGCAAAAAGACAATGATCCCAAACACAAATACAGCAGAAAAGAAATAATAAAGCAGAGTAATTGATAAATAAATGAATCAAGGTCTTGCA